TTCAAAATATTATTTTATATTCTTTCAAAATATTATTTTATATTCTTTCAAAATATTATTTTATATTCTTTCAAAATATTTTTTCATATATTATATATATTTTTTTCAAATTATTTTCTTTAATTTTTTTTCAAGTTTATATATAGTGTATTAAGTATTTTTTCACACTTCTTTGTTTTAAATATTTTTCTATATTTTATAAAAACTTTTCAGTATTTTGTTTCCTTTTTTCTTACATTTTTACAATATATGTATATTTTTTAAATATTGTTTTTTTTTTTTTTAATTTTGTAAATATTATTTTGTAAATATTGTTTCTTAATTTATAAAATATTTTTTTAAAATACTTTTTTTAATTATTATATTTTTTTAAAATACTTTTTTTAATTATTATTTTTTTTTAATTATTAATTTTTTAATTATTTTATTTTAAATTTCTTTTTTTTTTAAATATTTTTTTAAATTTAATAATTCTTAATTTATTTTTTAGCTCAATTAGTATTTTTGTTAAATTATTATTTTTTTAATTTAAATTTTTTTTTCATTTAATATTTGCAATTTAGTTTTTAATGTTTTCGATTTATATTTAAATATTTTCTATATATGTTAAAAAAGTTTAAAATTTTTGAAGTGTAAATTTCTTTGGAATACTGAATATCAGATTATTTTCTATACAACATTCTCTTAAATTGTATTACCTAATTAATTTAAAATTTTCGAAAGTGGTGCTTCTCATAAATATTTTTCTTGGTCAAAATTTTTTCACAATCATTTTATACAATTTTTTCTAACTGTATTACTAGATCTTAATTTTGCTATACTATTAAGCATAGTTTATAAAAAATATATTAATAAAATTTATGTAATGTAAATTATAGATTTTTGTTATTTTTTAGTTTGTATTAATTAATTAGTCGTACGAATTTCATTTGAGTTCAAGTATGTAAATGTTTATGTGACGTTGATGAACGTAGTTTATAAAATATAGAATTATGCGCAAAGTTGAAAAGTGTAAAAATAAACAATAAATATATTTTTTATGAATTGAAGAAATACATACAATAATTATCCTGACTTTGTTGTGTTGAAAAAATTTCGATTGGGTTGTCAAAATAACTGTTGCTCGCTGTCAATTCCAATAGAAGACTCGACTGGAGTGTGAATCTGGGTTTCTTGCAAAAATTAACTAAAAACTATGATTTGTATAAGTGGATTTCCACAGGTTATTTAAACAACAATAATCTTGTATGAGTTTTGTCTCTACCAGAATACGATATTCCGAATATATTCAAGCGCGTGAATATGTCATGAGTTATACTTGGTAAATTTTTAATAATCCCTAAATTTTACATTTAATTCTGACATTAAGTGCAACAAATACATATTTTGATTTATTTTTGCTAACTTGTATTTCCCATTTACTCAGCTCACACCGCTCTAATTAAGTCAGCGAGAAAAACAAATTAGATTATCAATTGTAAATTAATAATTTCTATTGAATTACAAAATTTCCCAGGAAAGATTGTTGGCAACTGTAAACAAGTGTTAGGTGATGCGTTTTTGACAGCTCAAGTGTTAACGGACGAAATGAATCACACGTAAAATCACGCTTAAAAAATAAATCAATAAAAACATGTTACGGTTATTACTTTTACTTTTAATTGTGTGCTGAAAAACAAAAATTTAATTGCTTAAATTTAAATTTTATACATGAAATAAAAAATATATCGACTATAAAACATTTTATGGCAGTTTTTAAAGTTCAACGAATGCGTTCACGCTTGTGTTGATATATTTTTTGTTTAATTATCACATTAATATAAATAACTTCCTTAACAAGTCGATTTCCTTTAAGTAAGCGTTTCTGGTTACTATAAAATTATATCGTTTGCCCACGTAGTTCACAGGCTTTATAACACTACAACAGAAACAACTGGGTATTGGACCAAATCAATTGTTCGTTCCGGTAATTTCGATGTCAAAGATGCACCACGCTCTGGAAGACCAGTTATCGAAAAAATCGATCAAATAATGGAAATCGCCGAGTCCAAACATCGATTACGATTGTCCAGGACCTAAACATTGCACAAAAAACCGTTTGGAACCATTTGAATAAGGCTGGATATGAAAAGTAATAATTAAAGCATTCAATTTCATGCAAAATTTAATTAATATTTGCAGTCGAGTTTTGAAATTTAGTGTGTTGAAAGCATCAATATTAATTATAGTGTGTAAGGTGTAAGTTTCTAAAATAAGTAAAGTTATGGGCACCATTCACGTTTTCCTCTCATTCCTACAAGTATGGTGTATTTTTTTTTCGGGTGAGGGGGGAAAATGCCTTTCGCATCACTAGTGCTGTCGTCTCAGCAACGGTATGTGCCCGCTTTTCGCTGCGTAGCAAAGTTGCTGCGAATTTCTGGATAATACCCCAGTTAACTTCGCTCTTCACCATGGCGCTGATTAAGTTGTTCGCGTTTATTGGACCGACCATGTCTTCTACGGCGGTGCGTTCCCTTTGCCATTGCCATTAAAAGAATGTGTGTTTAGCGTCGTCTTCAGTCGCATCGTTGTATATACATGATGTCTCTTCGACTTTTCCCATTCTGTAGAGGGACTTTTTGAAGTATCCGTGACCGGATAGTAGCTGTGTTATGTAGAAGTCGATTTCTCCGCATTTACGACTTCTTATAAAGTTGGGTCTCTTATAAATTTAGCTCCCACAGCGTTTTCCTTATAACTAATATTGCATCAATTGCTATCTTTCGGGATCCCTCTCTAGTTTGGTACAACAGTTTTCTATTGCTAAGGTAGCTCCGCAATACAGCTCTGAAGTAGTTGGGGATTCTAAAGCTTTTTTCGAGAGCGTCGATCGTGTTAGCCCATCTAGCGCTGTTGAAGCCATTTCGGACGTCTAGAGTCGCCAATGAGGGTTGTGCTTATATGATCACTTATAGCAGGTCAAAGTCCGATCGTCCTAATGTTGAGGTTTAGTGATTTTTATGTACAAATCTTACACTGTACACTGCCCGTAATCTTGACAGGGGATAATCTATAAAGTTATGGTTGTACGAAAACCGAAGACTTATGCAGCGAACTGGAAACACCAATAATTCGCAAAAACAAATTATGATATATTTATTTATTTATTTTATATTTCTATATTTTTTTTTATATGTATTTATTTATTTTATTTTATTTTATTTTTATTATTATTTTTTTTTATATGTATTTATTTATTTTATTTTATTTTATTTTTATTATTATTTTTTTTTTATATATATTTTTTTTTTTTTTTTTTTTGTGCGGGTGAGGGGGTGGAAAATGCCTTCCGCATCATCAGTGCTGTCGTCACAGCAACGGTATGTGCCACTTGCAGGTCACTAAAAACCCCCCCTCTAGGGAACCGTCGCCCACCCTGGAACCGCGTTTGCATTACTTCAGGGTGGCGTTCCATTTTCCTCATTGAGAGATTTACATCTACGCACCTGCGTCCAGGTCCCTTTTTGCTGCGAAGCAAAGTTTCT